ATATATATATATATACATATATGGTTGTCAGGTACTGCGGCGGCAGCGATGCCTTCATGTTGACCGAGACGGAGATGTATGTGAGATCCCATGGGCAGAGCAAGCCAATGGGGACCAGTTGGTGGGAGACTCTGTCCATGGATTGCAAAGGGTCTGATCAGATCCCATTCTTCAGGCAAGCCATGATCAAGTTGGCTCTCACAGGCCATGTGCTGACACCTACGGCCATGAAGAAGATCTTCACAAAGGACACACTCCCAAAGGCGATCGCAGCAAATCGTTGCATGTCCATGATCAGGGAGCTGCTGCAGAATGGTGGCGGTCCGAGCATCGAACACCCGGACTATACCAGAGTCGTGAATTTGCTCGGGGTAGCAGATGGCAACATGGCCAAGGTCGTGCTGGGCATGCAGCCTGGCGATGGCGAGAAGAAGTACGGAGCCGCCGAGAGTGTTGCTCACGACACGGTTGTCATCCTTAACAGCATGTTGGGACTAAGCATGACTTCGCCTTGGGCATTGCAAGCTGAAGAGACAAAGGTAGCAACAGGCCAAAGCAGCAGCAGTTCCCATGAAAGGATGCGAGAGCTCAACCCAGACGGCTCCCTCAAGAACCCTTCCGATCTGCTCGCTGATTCCGGCTTCGTGCAGGATGCCTTCTGCCGAAGGAGGAAGGATAAGATGGAGTGTGTCATCATGCAAGCGAAAGCACCTCATGTTCAGCTGAAGGAGCTGAAGACTGGTGGCCTCATGAAGGTTAGCATGGATGAGTTCATCTCAGGCCAGTGGGTGGTGTTCAAGCCCAAAGCCGAGGCACAGGTTTTGGACCAGCTGGAGAATTTCGGCCCTGCAGCTTCCCCCGACTTCCAAGCATGCAGCATCGTTGCAGCGATCCACTCCGAGGTGGCCCGATTGGTTGGTCATCACTCGTCTGATGAGGTTTGCAAGAGTTTGCAGCTCCAGATGAAGCCATTTAAGTCTGTGATTGCTAAAGCAAACTTCGCCAAGAACAAGCTGGTGCTTGTTCCATTCACATTCAAGGTCCTGATGCGAGAGAAGAAGTCGGATCCAGTCTCGGGGGCCGTCCAGGTCGTCGTGCCATCTTGGAAGATGGACAATCGCGAGTTTTGGCTTGTGTCCTGCAACCAGGCTCCCAAGGAAGACGACGATGGCAACACCCTCACGAAGGGCTTCATCTCGCCATTTTTCGCGATTGCAGGGCAGGAGGAGGAGGACCTCGTGAACATGACATCCTTCATGTCAGGGAATAGCCAGAGCATCGTCAGATTCCCCATGCTGAAGAACAGCAAGGCAATCTCGGCTGGCGATCATTTGTGCACATTGCGAGTGAAGGAGAAGGCTGAGTCGAAGGCTCCTCCTGCTAAGAAGGCCAAGAAGTGATGCCATTCATGAGTGAATGCAGATGTATCATAGGTGCTGATCCGGGCTGGCATGCCCTGTAGAACAGGACTCGACCATGCATTCACGATTCTTCGTGTACTTTTGCACTCGGCATTGATTGGTTGCAAAAGCTTTTCACATGAGATGCACACATCACGTCGCCGTGCAGGGCTTCATTAGCTCGCAGGCAGCATGCATGCATTCCTGTATATATATGTGTGAATGCAGCCACTCAAGCTGCTAGCTAGCTATCGCCTCCATCTGTGTTCGGTTGTAGACTGCCATCATGAGCCTTTCGGTGGAGAAGAAGATGGTGATCACTGCCGGGTCTACGATTTGTGTTCCTCAGCAGAAAGAAGTTGATGGGCTCACTTTCGTTTGTCTCGAGAAATGGAATAGGAGCCTGGTCAAAGTCTTGACGGGCAGTGCCCTTGATCTCCGGCAAGGGAAAAGCAAAGGCTCCATCGACACTCCGATTTTTGCAAAGCTCGTTGAGGCCCGGCAGAACAAGGCCAACGAACTCCTTCAGCAAGCGATCGCGACCGAGCAGGAGGAGAATGCCGAGGAAGCACCCAAAGGTCGCAAAGCCAAGCCGGTCCGGGCCACGTCCACCCATGCCTTGATCCTGCCGACGAAGCTGACTGTGGATGTGGATGGCCACGAATGCTGCATGCTCCTCGAGGGAATCGGCAGCATGACGATTTGGCTCTTGTTTTCGGAGGATAACATCAACTGGTTCAAGGACCAAGTCACGGCTGAAGAGTGTAAGCCTCGCCGGAAGAGGAAGGCGAGGGCAGCAGGGTTTAAGGAGCCTGACAATGCCGACGAGGAGCAGGAGGAGGAGGAGCAGGAGTAGCAGCTTTGTTGGCGCAAATGCTGGGTTTTTTGATTTCGCAGCGAATCTGAACAAAATTTCCCACTGCAAGCTTGCACAGAGAGGCGGCGAGAGATATAGAGACAGAGACACACAGCGAGACAGAGAGGGAGACAGTGGTGTGCAGAGAGCATGGAGAACAAAAGGGGAGAGGAGAGGAAAGGGACAGGAACGGTGCATGGTGAAGACACTCAGTCATGCATGCAGTCATTCAGGTGCAGTGCATGTTCCGATGTGTCGTGCAGGCCAGCATGGCTCTCGGCACAATGATGGGTGACATGTCATGCACAGATGCAGGCACACTTCGAGTTGACATGCATGTCCATGCAGGGTTCAGATGGCAAGCTTCAGCTGGCAACAGTGTTTCGATACTTCGTGGTTTCGTCGCCCTTTGCTTTTAGGGAGCCATGGTGAAATCATGGGCGGCTTTGATTGTTGGCGAGCCAGAGGATCGGTTTTTGTTTAGGCAATGCTCTATACTATATATGTATATATACACATACACTCATGCATTCCCTCGGAGGACCACCTGCTCAAGGTCATCTGGGATCTGGGCATGGAGTCTTCGGACTTCGCTCCGGCACCGAGTCCAGCCCTTATACATTTGTTTCACGACATAACAGGATTTTGTAAAGCCTGTGTCAGGTCGGAAGTGCAAGCATCGTTGGCAGAACGATGCCGGCACTGTTCTCCGGTGGGAGTTCAAGAGTGGCTGGGGCATCGGGCCAGAAGGCGATCATATGTCCCGCCTGCAACATGAATCAACTCGCCATGCAGGATCGGAGCCCTTCTTCGTGCACCCCATGAAGGACATGGAGGAGCCCACGAAACGAGGCTTTTCTCGAAACACCGAGCCCTATAGTATAAGGCAAAACAAAACCCAAAGCATGCCAGGCTGGCAAATGTGGGACCAGCAGAAGGGCTGCTGGCAAAAGTGCCCGCAGCTGGTGCTGAAGGATGCTAGCATCGTCGAGGCTTGCACTTTTCTTTGTCTTGTCGTCTCAGGATCACAGTCATGCATGCCATGTGCAGGCACCTCCGGGCACCGCTGCAGATGATGCCAAGGTGGTATATAGAGGCTCTTGGTTCATGGCCCGAAGCCAGTAACTTTCTTGGTCAGGGTGGCGATGGCCATGGTTCCGAGGAGGCTGTGCACTCCTCAGGCTGTCGTGCTGGTGGTTCCTGCATGGCCTTGAATCAGGAAGGAGTCGAGGCCGAGCCACCAGCCGTGCATTCCTCAGCTTGTTGTGCTCCTGCTTTGTGCTTAAAGTTGTTCTAGATTACTTCTTCATCAGGAGCCAAGCAGTTCCCATGGGCCGGATGTGCAATCCTCAGCTTTGCTGCTCATTGGGCCATGCACATCAGCATGGCTCTTGAAAGATATAAGTGTTGGATCAGGAGCCAAGCTCGGATGCGGAGGGTGCAAGACCCTCGGCTTCGGTCTTACTTGGGCACAGCTCAGCATATGTATATATATATATATATGTGTGTATACAATCTCGGTCAGGCAGATGACATCCAGGAGCCGAACGAGGCCGTGAACTTGTCAATGCTTGGTTTGTGCTGCTAGCTGTGTATGTGTGTGTTTTGGTGTGTTTGGGGTGTCCGGAACGATTGCAGGCGGCTGCTGATGTGGCCATTCGGGGGGCTGGCACTGCACCAGCCTCAGAGCGATTTCGTCTCCGAGAGAAGGGCACTTAATGTGCAGTGCATGTCGGTGCCAGCAGGGCCCATGGCTCGCTGGCAGCCGTGTGCACACCATGTGCTTCAGGCGATCTTGCCGCCAAAGCCCAAGAAGAGGGCTTTGGCACCATGGGCTGAGGACCCAAGCCTGGGGCCTAGGCAAGGGTTTGGGGGTGCTACAATATAGATATAAACATATATATATATATATGCATGTATATATATATCTCTCTCTCTCTCTCTCTGTCTGTCTCTCTCTGATATCATTACTTGTGCTACTTATGAGACTACTACTACTATACTATTATGCTACCACTATATACTGCTCCTATATAGTACTATACTACTACTACTATACTACTATACTACTATACTACTATACTACTATACTACTATACTACTATACTACTATACTACTATACTACTACTACTACTACTACTACTAATCCTGCTACTACTACTCCTACTACTACTACTA